GGCTGGACTCGTAACAATTGCATCACGCAAAACGGCTGTGGAAGCTGGTCCATTAACACAGCCTACAGCAAAACATGGGATCATGGCTACATCTAGACGCAACCCCAGGTTGTCACAAGAGACCGTGTAGAGTGGTACAATGCCAATAGCAACTTATTCCCATTTTCGCAACTTTGCGTCGACAACAGCATTCGTAGACAGCAAGTAAAGGTGGTTGTGAGGACACATGCAGGGACGTCATTGCATAAACTCAAACGACTCTATTATATCATGATATCATACAATACTTTTATCTACGCCCAACGCAAGTTGGTCTGCTTCTTGCGAACCTATTCCTCTTTATCAGCAAATAATCACAGATGTTTGCGGGAGAAGGAAACTTACAATGGGTCCCAACACGGTGACACCAACAGTGAGCGCAAGGACAGTCGAAATCAGGCTAATTTTGTTGAAGCCCTTGCCGAGGATATCAAACGCAAAGCTAGGCGCGACACGGCTCCCAAAGATGTCGATGCCATAGGAGAAGACCAAGCTGGTGCTCTCCACAACGGTAGGCGAGGTAATAATCTTCTGCACGCCAATGACGTCGCGCTGGTGGGTAATAACTTGTCTGGGGTCGATCTCAATGGCGGGGTGGTACCTGATCAGGCCCTCGGCCTCCATCTCCGCGGGTGTCGGGTCGCGTCCGACTGGGCGTCTCGGCTCCAGGAGCTGACGGGGAAGACTGACAATGGCGTGAGATTCTGGCAGGTAGCCTAGGACGTGGCGGCTAGTGATGCCCTGGCGAGTCTGCGTGACAGCAAGAGCGGCCAGAGGGGCAGACAAGATCCAGGCTTGGCTGATCACTGAGGGGAGGGGCACGCCGGTCGGGGTATCGACAGGCTCGGTAGAGGAGAAGTTGGCGGCATCACCAAGCGGGCCTCTGTCATCGGCGTACTCGCTCTCGTACAGGTCGGACACCACAATCTGGTTGCCCTTAAGGGTTTGTCCAGAAAGAGGCTGACCAGCATCATCCTTGAGAGAGTACTGTCCGAAGAACGAGCAGGCGAACCAGTTCTCGGCGAGGGTGCATTCGATGTTCTTATTGCCGTCAACTCCCTCATGGGTGGTGGAGTGGAGAACAGCGCCCGACACCGAGTCGATCAGGTAGACGTTGAGAGAAGATTTGGCGTTGCTGTAGGCAGAAACGACAATGGTGTTGGGGTTCAGGTACTTATACTTGACGCGTCTGTCGCCGAGAACACGTCCAATGGAAGCGATGGGATCGTGGACGGGGCGGGTTGCGATGTCGACAATCTCAAAGCCCGTTGGCGGAGAGAACTCCCAAGCAACCTGTTCCTTGCCTGTGCCTTCCTCGTTGATGTAGGTTAGGCCCTTTACTTCGTCTTTCAAGCCACGAACGACGACAGTCTGTGTGGGTATCCATGCAGAAGGAACGTCGCCGATAGCGCCTCCAACCCCAACGGGTGCGAGCCATGGTCCTGAAGGGCTATCGACAATGACGGCAGCTTGGGTTTGCACCCAGGAGCCTTCCGGCATTGAGTCAATCATCTTGCCAGTGTCTGTCTTGGCTATAACGTAATCGCCGAAGTGGCCTCGAACAGTGATAGTGGACTTGGCATCCTCAACAAAGATGCCCTTGATATCCCAGGTGTTCCAGGGGGCGATGTCGACAGCGTGAAGTTTCCAGATGACTTTGCCATGCTTGCTGATATCAATACCGAAAAGCTTGCCGCGTCTGGTCACCAGAACCACGATCTTGTTGAATCCAAAGGCATCGCGAGAAAGACAGAGGGTCTTTGACGTAATCTCAGCTCCAGTGATGCTGCTAACCAGACGCTGGGGGATGGAGGCGAGGTAGTCGGGCAGATAGGCGAGGTCATCAAAGTGGCGTTGGACACGGTGGATGTAAGCAGACAGGACGTTGTCGTGTGCCTCGGCTTCGAGGGTCTTGGCGAGGTCCTCGCTTTCGGGGATCTCTGCGAAGGCCGCGGCGACACCTCCGGTAAGACCTTCGGGGCGAACCCAGGCCTCCTCACCGTTGCGGACCAAAATCCAGTCATCCAGAGTAGTAACTGCGGCGCAGCGGACAGCAAAGTTGTCGGCAGCCTTCTTGATAACCTCAGATACGGCGTGAATAGCCGCAAATCTCTCATTTCCTTCCTTAAAGGCCCATTTTCCGAGGATGGCATGCGAGCTTGACGAGGTAAGAATAACCTCCTCCTCGGTGATGCGCGTGAACCAAACGTTAGCGCCCTCTGAGCTAGTCGAGAAAGCGCCCAGTCCAGGAAGGACAGGCAGCTCATGGTGCTTGGTGATGGCATTGTTCTTGATGTTGACGTGGTAGACCTCGCCCTTGTGGCTGTCAGAGGATCTGCTGTGCACCAAGAAATGCGGCTCCGCGTTGAGGTGATGCGGGGCATGGATAGCTACATCAAGGGTCCTGGGGAACGGGAGGGCAAACTCCTGCTTCGACTTTGTGCCCAGGACGTTGACCTTGAGCTTCGTGTGATCGCTATCGAGCCAGGCGACGATGGGAGACGCGGAGTTGGCGCCGACGAACATGACATCTCTTTTATCCGTCACGTCGCCTTTGCTGCCGAGGCTGATGTCGTCGATGCGCTTTCCAGTAAGCGTGTCGTGGACGGAAACTCTCACAGCCCACATACCGTCGTTTCCGTAGAGGCTGACAACAAAGATCTTCTCGATGTTGTTGGAAACCTGTAGCGGGATGGTTTTGGACGCATCCTTGTTCTCCCAAACGACAGTTCCGTCATTCCCATTAAGCCTTCTCAGGACGGTAGAGCCATCCTCCTCTTCGAAAAGCGCCAGCACATCCTTGCGTCCGTTTTCTGTCATCTCCATGACTTCCAAATCCTTGATTGTACCTGTGAAGTCGATCCACCAGGCGTTCCTGCCAGACAAGGCGTTCCAGGCATGCACTGAGCTTCCGTACGCAGACACAACCCAATCCTCGTCCTCGGCCGCTCGCAAGTGTCCGCCTCCATTCGTGGTATTGCCCGTCAGAAGTTGGCGCCAGACGACCGCGCCGTTGCTGGGATTGACGGCTCCGAGGACGCCAACATCGCTGAGGGTGTAGAGGAGCGAAGCCTTATCGTCGCGCCGGGGCTTGTGGAATAGGGTGGTCTCGACCTGGGGAACGCCGATGAGCTCGTGATGGTAATCGATGTCGCCAACCTCGTCGACGAACACCGCGCCGACGAGCGACGTAGCTGCGAGAAGCAGCGTCGTAAGGCGCATGGTGATGGGGTGTGGTGCTTTGAGCTTGTCGTGGAGTTGGACAGCTCCGAAAGTGTGTGAAGCTCGCACGTCACTTGGTGGTGGGAGCAGTGCTGTACGATTAGTGTGCAGAGCACAGCGTACCTTACCTCGTCCACAGTGGAAGGCCCCATATTTCCGTTGGAGACGTCGGGTGGTTGATTGGATGTGGGGGAAGGCCCGTGCCAGGCGCGCAACATTGACGACCGAAAGCTTTCAGAAGACGACAGCGCCTTCTTCTCCAGAGCCAAACCAAACCACATTCGCAAGAAGCCCAGCGCTCTCTCCCGTCGCCAAAGCTCTCAAAATGGTATGTGAACGTCCCGTATACGTCCAAGTTGTAAAATGCTAATAGGTGCAGGCGCGAAACTCGGAAAAGGCGCAGTCCATGCTGTTTCGCTTTCGCGAGGCGCAAGCAGCAGACCTGGGCATTATCGACATTGGCCGGACAAGACGACCAAGAGTTATCACCGAAGTCGATTCGATACCATCATGCGAGAAGTGGCGTGGCCAAGTGTTGAAGGAGATCTCGCGCAAGGTCTCCAAGATTCAAGACACCGCCCTTAGTGACTACCAGATCCGCGACCTCAACGACGAAATCAACAAGCTCATGAGGGAAAAGTACATGTGGGAGGTGCAAATACGGAATCTCGGTGGACCTAACTACATGCGCGGAGGCGGCAAGATATACGACGAAGAGGGACGAGAGATACCAGGAGGCGGGAAAGGCTATCGATATTTTGGACGCGCGCGAGACTTGCCCGGAGTTAAGGAGCTATTCGACGCAGCCAAGGCAAAGGCCACAAACGAGAAACCACTGGAGACGAGGGACGACTTGCGGAAACAGGTTGATGCGGCGTACTACGGTTACGCGCCAGATGAGGAGGACCCGGAACTGCTGGCGTACGAGCTCGCAAAGGAAGAAGAGGCCCTGGCGCACATGGCGAAGGCAGGAAAGCAACAACTACCGCCTGATTGGGAGGCTTTGCCGGGCGACACAGGCGACGGAAAGGGCTGGGAGCTGCCGACGCTGGAGGAGGTGCAAGAAGAGTTGATCAACAGGCGGCGGCAGAAGCTCTTGGACCAATTATAGCAGCCAACCCGCGCGCTGCCTTTTCGGTTACGATGAGAACTGCTTTGATCTTTTTGGAGGGTCACTGGTGTTTTTCGAGAGGTCGTGTCGCTGCTGTATCATATTGCAAAGTTTGGGGTTCAGTCATAGCCTGAGATGATGGCTGGCGTTCTTGGAGGGTTTACGGCTAATCGAATACCAAAAATGCTATTTCTCTGAGCTCAAATGTTGTCGACACTGAACCAAGTATTTATCTTGAAAAACGCTTGCCATCGCCAGCTGCCAGTGCTGGCATGAGGTTTACCAAAGACAAGGTGCCTAGGCAGGGTGACCTTTGGTGTGCTCGGTGAAGCTCGGTGAGAGATAAGATAACGCCTTTCACGTGACCCATCGCGAACTTCAATCCGAGCTTCGAAAGCTCGACTTTTGCGATTGCACGATCAGCGTCTCCCCGTTCAATACGTCACAACCTCCGCCAAAATGTCGATGTTCCGCGCGAAGAAGCTCGATCTGGGATGTTTCGTCAACATCCGGACGATTCGTGACCACACGAAGCGCCAGGTCTTTATGCAAAACGAGCCCGAGAGGTTAGCAGCGCCGAACCTCCTACACCCCCTTTACAACCGACGACGCCAATTGAATTGCAACTGATCCGAAACCCGTGAAACAGACAAGCTCTCCGATACATTATTCAGAACACGACTCTCCCGGGTCGTGTGCGCGCCGAGGCGCAGCTTCAGCTGGGTCAGATGCACTGCTACACCCGGCCGACGCAGATCAAGAACCGATGCATTTTGGGTGGCAAGGCCAGGGGTGTCTTCCGCGACTTCAAGATGACGAGGGTATGTCAAAATCGTGACTGTCCTTCGCAGTTGGGTTTAGATTCGCGTAGGCTGACTAGAGAGTACAGTTCAACTTCCGTATGCAAGCGTACGAGGGTAACATTCCCGGTGTCAAGAAGGCCAGTTGGTAGACGAATATGCGGCGGAGGACGATTTAAAAAAAAAAAAAAAGCAGGGAAATACTGTTGTAAGATACAACGAAAGGGCGCGTGTACCTTTCAGACGGCATGCTACGCTCGCGAGCTTGCTCATAGACGGATGGTTTAGGGATTGGCGTTTGGCTGCATGTTGGCACCCTAAGAAGCATATGTACAGATACAAATACTGGCAAACCATGTACAACACATCTCAGTTCACGTGCAGATCAGATCTGTTTGATAGCGGACGATGTTCTTTCTGCATACCTCGCATATATCTACCAAGGCAGGAAGTCTCACGAGTGCAGTTGCCTTCTCATTCAACAAGAGGCTCTGGATCTGTTTTCGATCGTTGGCTTTGGAGTTCCTTCCTGCTCACTGCTGCCGTTTCGTTTTCATCTTATCATTTTTTGGTCCCTCTCCTGCTCTCCCACCGAATTTATCTCAGCCTCATTCCCCGTCTCTTCAAAACCGATAATACAAAGTGTCTTCTCAACCATCTTTCGTTCTACACTCCAATACTTCCCAATCCCGTCCTCTGTTCAGCAGCCACCATGTTCCGCCGTCGCTGGTCTGGTCTCCCCAAAGACCCTATCTTCTCATCTAGCTTGGAAGACCTTGGGTTTGCAGCCTTTTCCGTTACAAGCCGTGACCAGAGCTAACATTTCCAGCTATTTCATCAACGACCAAGATGAGATCCGCAACATCAAGGAACCCAATTACTACTTCAAGTACTATCTCACCAAGAACGGCCGCGTAAATGATCGCCAGCGCTTTCATTTCAATGGCAAGTGCCCATCACTATTGACCTTAATTGCGCTTCCTTCCTGACTCTCATACAGATGCGATCCGTGACATTGTTCACGGCCGTCTCGAAAAGGAAGGCTTGAAGAAGGTCCTTCTACCTCTCAGCGTCGAGCCAACGTCGCCCAACGTGCCCATCTTTACGAGTGCCAACCTGGCCTCTGCCTCGCGCGTCGTAGTGATCTTTGGCGAGCCCAGCCAGGATCTCGGCAACTTGGCCCTCCGAGTCGTCAACGGTCCCGGCGGTATCAACAAGGGCAGCATGGTCTCGGTCGTTCAGGAAATCAACCGCCAGAGAGCTTCGCCTTCCGATGATGGTTCTCCCGGAATCATAATCGCCAACACGGGCGAGCTCTGGTGGTGGCCGGAAGGCAAAAAAGCCCTGAGCCCGACTTCGGCTATGGCCGTTCCCAGGAAGAGCATGGTTCACCACGGCCGCGCCAATAACCCAAAGTATCACTCAATCCCGAATAACGAGACCCCCGAAACCCACATTGCGTACGTTCTCAACGAGGTCATTCCATCGCTTCTACCGCCAAACGCTCGCCTGGACATCATCGGCATAGGCCTTGGCGCCGACCACGCGACCAGAGTGTTAGACACACCCGAGACGTGGTCTACCCTCGGTCACCGCATCAACACCTTGTCCTTGCTAGGTAGCACAACCAGCGTCGATGAACTCTCTTACCAACCCCTCAAAGAGTTCCTCCCTCGCCGCGCTCGAGCGTACATCACAGATGAAGCGCCTGCACTTACACCCTTGGCGCAGCCCGGCGGCAATCCGAACACGGCCTCATTCACACAGCACGGCTGCACGGTCTACAGCTCCGGCGAAGTCTACCTCGTCGAGTGCATGCTCGTCACCAGCCACGTCCCCATACTCGACTGGGTCCAAGAGGTCGCTCTCGCCGGCCCCGACTACCGCCACCCGGAGGTTGTCGCCGTCGACCCCTATGTGCCGACTGAGGAGGAGTGGGCCGCAGGTGGATTCGATGAGCGGTGGAAAAGTATGCCCGAATTTGCAAAGCCGAGTATCGGATATGCCATGGCGCCTGAGGACCATGAGCATTGCCAGGTCCTGGAAGGTATTCAGAAGCTTGCGGTTGAAGAGGACGAGAAGCAGAGTGATGCCTGGGAGGAATCCCGAGGGATGATGATGGGTCGTCACATAGACAGATAGGAGATGGTAGCATATGGGACGTTATGCCCGGCTGGGCACGATGATTACGTTTGGGCCTCAAACATTTAATTGGAGAACGGGCGTGAGGCAGTTAGTCGTGATCATAAAAGCTAGCAACTCACATTTACTCTGCCATTCACGCTGAAAAGGCCGCCGTGACTTGTGGATGGGCAAATATGACATACACAATGTGTCCCTTACCCGTGATCATTGGTGATTGTGAGGCTTCGCTGCCAGCACCTGTGGAAAAAAGGCATCGAATGTGCAAATGGTATCATTGACATATAAATTGCCGAACAACATTGTTGTACAAACTACACCCTGTTCGCAGCGCCATCTGCATCAGAACAACCACCTCCTACACCTGAAGCAACGAAGCCAACCCAGCAACAGGCGGCTCAACCTGCACCAACAGCTCCCTGGTCCGCCGTATCCTCTCCTTGACGACCTTCTCCTCCGCCGCCCACCTGCTCTCCTCCGTCTTGGTCTCTGTCCAGAACCCAAACGCGGATTTCGTCGGCGCGGCCTGATTCTTGGCCTCCTCTTCCCGAGCCAAGCTGGCCACCATGGCAGACCAGTTCTGCAGTCCCGTGCCGAGACACTCGCGGCACGTCTTGCGGGCCTCCTTGTCGCCGCCAATCGGGCCGAGCTTGCGCAGCTGCTCCTCGGCGAGGTCGACGGCGTCGCGCGTCCACGCGAGGCCCTCGTCGCGGTTCGCGACCTGCTTTTTGGAAGAGGAGTCCTTTGCGGCAGCGGCGGCGGCATAGATGATTTCGCCAATGTAGAGGTTCAGACCGGCCTCTTCGCAGAGTTCCTTCGAGTGGCGCCAGGGCGGGCGGGTGCCGTCCTCCGGTGGGGCGGGGTACCTAGGTGCCTGTGCGAGGTTCCATATCCTCTGCCACAGTGTCGTGGGCGTCTCTGTGGGACGTTCTTGACCCGGGAGAGGAACCTGGGGTAGGGTGCGGCGGGCGCGGAGAACGGAGATGAAGATGGGGAGGGCAGCATTCACGTCGTCGTTGCGCGCCTTGTGGAGGGCGATGGAAGTGAGGACAGTCAGCACGTTCTCGGACGGCAACGTTGTCTTCTTATCGTTGATGGTGTATGTGCGGGGGTCGACGAGGGGAGGGTCGCTCGGGCCGGTCGCGGTGGCTAGGGTGAGCGCCCACTGGTACATGCGCTCGGCGGCGTCAGGCATCTGCTTATAGTCGAGGAAAGAGGCGTAGGCGAGGGCGGCGTCCATCTTTTGGCGGTCAGTGAAGCCCTTTGTGGTGAGGATGCGGAGGTAGTGGTTCTCGGCGGGCTCATAGGCGACCTCGCAGTCCTCCTCCCGGGGCGCGCTCTCCGCGCCGGGCGGGATGGGTTTCGGGTGCGGGTTTGAGGGGCCCAGGACGACGTCGGCGGGGAAGATGATGTTCCTCGTCCGGTCCTTGACCCAGCCGTCAAGCTGCTCCGCCGCCTGCGCCATGAGCATCAGCACCTCGTAGTAACCCCGCCTCCAGTTCTCGCTCTTGACCGAGACGTCCTTGCCCGCGTTGCCGATGCCGTCGATGGATAGAGGTTCGTCGAGAAGCTCCCGGATCGCCGCGCCGTCAATATCCGGATTCTCCAGCCGAGCCAGCGCGCCTCTGCACGTCACGATGACCTCGACCCAGTTCACGCTGTGGCCGGGCGTGTCTCGGGCGGCGTTCTTGGCGCCGCGGATGCCCATGCGCGTCAGGTAGGACCACTCGTGCGGCGTAGGATATTCTTTCTCCATCCCTTCCTGGTTCAGTAGGAAGACGATGCCGAGGATGCAGAGGGCGCCGCCCCAGATGGAGACATTATAGCGGAGGAAGAGGCGGCCCTCATAGCGCAGGAAGCGCTTCTTTTCTGTGGTGAAGTAGCGGGCCCGCGGGGCTGTGACGACGGGGATCGAGAGGAAGGGAAGCTGTGGCCTGCCTCGGGAGGTGAGGGATGTGTTGCTAGTGAAGGGCCGGGTGGTCTGGAGCTGGAAGAGCCTCTGGAGGAGGATTCGGCGGAGGGCTAGGCGCTGGCGCATCGTGGCTGCGGGCCGGGGACACTTCAAATCGGGAGAATTGTTGTACTCATGCGGTTGTAATGGTCTTTGAGCGGGAGGGTATCCGTCGGTAGTTGCGTCGAAGCTTGGTTCTTTGCGGTAGAATTAAACATTCGGGAAGCTCAGAGCTTGAAGTGACCAGGGAGCTTCCAAACCGAAGTGGTCGATGCATCCAAGATTCGATGCCGAAGTGGGGCCATTGGTGGCCGGTGCGGTCGGTGGTGTCGGTGGGCGAATGTTCCGCTGTCAGCTGGAATTGGAGATGGTGATTGGTCACTCACCTGTAGCAACTTTTTTTTTTCCTCTGACCGGCGAAGGTGCCATAGAGGCCTGAGTTTGCTGCTTAGACCCATCTCCAGTGATTTTGAGAGGGTCTTCCTGAAGCTCGTGTAAGACTGGCTTGACAGAAAGCCATTCAAGGCACTTCCCCTTCTCTATTGCTTGATATTCCACTAAGCTCGTCATCTTGCATAATGAGTGTGCGAGGTTGAAAATGTCTTCATTTTTCTCTAAAGCGGCGTCAAGTCCGCATGCGCAACTGGCCGCTACCGCTGTGTTGTCAGGCGCCACGGTAGCATGTCTCATCCTTGGCTACCAAGCATTTGAAAGAAAAGAACGAATTCAAGATCTCAAAAAGTCCATCCCTTCCTCCCCTGAAGAAGCTGCCAAGGTTCATACATCTTTCTCTGTGCCGTTCAAGAAGATCAAAAAACTAATCAAATCTCACAGCTCACTCGGTACGGCGCCGCATCGCCCCCAGTAGACAAGGAGGATGCCCGCAACCAGGCCCTCGCCAGGAGAGCCCAGGCCGGCGACTTTGACGAGGAACTCATTCTCGAGCAACTCGCCCGCAACAGGGTCTTCCTGAAAGACGACGGCCTGCAAAAGCTCCGCAACGCCTTCGTCATCGTCGTCGGCTGCGGCGGCGTCGGCTCCCACTGCACCGCCGCCCTCGCCCGCTCGGGCGTCTCCAAGATCCGCCTCATCGACTTCGACCAGGTCACCCTCAGCTCCCTCAACCGACACGCCGTCGCCACGCTGGCGGACGTCGGCATCCCCAAAGTCCAGTGCCTCTACCGCCGCCTCATCGCCATCGCCCCCTGGGCCAAGTACGAGCTCAAGAACCAAAAGTTTGAAAAAATTGCCGCCGACGCGCTGCTTGCGCCTTGGGCCGAGGACGGACAGAAGCCGGACTACGTCGTCGACGCGATTGACAACATTGATACAAAGGTCGCTCTGCTCAAGTACTGCCATGATCACGGCATCCCCGTCATCTCCTCCATGGGAGCCGGGGCCAAGGGCGATCCCACTCGCGTTAACGTTGGCGATATCGGAGCCAGCACCGACGACGGGCTTTCCAGAGCTACCCGCAGGAAGCTAAAGCTGCAGGGCGTGACAGGCGGTATTCCTGTCGTGTTCTCGACTGAGGTCGCCGGCGAGGGCAAGGCTGCTCTCTTGCCGCTCGACGAGGAAGAGTTCAAGAAGGGCCAGGTTGGCGATCTCAGTGTTTTGCCGACTTTCAGAGTCCGAATTCTGCCCGTGCTTGGAACCATGCCCGCAGTCTTTGGATACATTGCCGCGAACCACGTCATTCTCAGTATTTCAGGTAAGAAAACCATGAAGCGATTACATCTGATCTTCCAGGGCTAATAAAGCTTCTAGGATACCCCCTTGATTACGTCCCGGCCAAGAACCGCGACAAGCTCTACACAGACATTGTAGCATTCGTCCAAGGCTCCGAGACGAGAATCGTCCACCACAGATTCGGTATCGAAGAGTCCAAGGGTCTCCGCATCCCAGTCTCCCTCGGCGACGCCGCCTTCTTGACCGAGGAACTGTGGAAGGGACGGAGCGCCGTCACCGGTCTCATCAACAGACTTGTGCTGGTACGGTGGAGACGGCCCGAGGGCCAGACCAAGCTGCGCATTGGGGAGGGCGCTGAGGAGCAGAAGTGGTCCAACATTCGCTTCCGCGACTTGGTCTGTATGACTAGAGACGAGGCTCTCCGTCACGAGAAGGAGTACCTTAAAAAGGACGATACCAAGTTGGAGGACCTGTACGATGCGGACGTGATTGCCCGGATAGAGGCTAGGTTGAAGGAAGCTATCGAGGTCGAGAAGGATAGACTTTGAGTAGATGGTCATCATCTTAGAACCATAACACAAGTGTATGATTGAAAACCATGCGTTCTTTTTTTTTTCTCGTTCAGATGACCCTCAAGCTTGCTCTCAATGTCAGCTCGAGAGAGGCAAGGGGTGTGGCTGGTGGTGCGATGTAAATGTGGCTGTGCGAGATTAAAGTGGAGGGCGCCCAAAGCTCCCGTCGTCGCGCGGCGCGCTTGACTGGACTTCTTCAACCGCGACTTGCTTCTTCCACCTTCAACCGAAGAGGTCTCCCGACTGCCAACTCTGCCACCGTTGACACAAAAGATGGGCGCGAAAATTCTAGAGTTTGTTCCCAGCACAGGCTGTTGGATCTAGAGTTCCTGCTCTCAAACCCAGTGCCTTGAGCAGGTGAGCTGCTTCGTGTGGAACATGAGAATCGGGGCCATCTTGGCTGACCTCATCCCAACAGCTACGCTCCAGCCTCAGCTTCTACAAAGTGCTGAAGTTTTCCTTGTATTCTTTTCTAACAATCCCTTCTATGGCTGGAATCAGCTAGATTTCCAGCTTCTCGAGTGAGATCTGGCAAGAACCCCTTCCAGGCGCGTGCCGGGGATATTCCCATGTTGCCTTTCTCAATACTCGTCTCTCCTTTCTCTCGGAATGTCACGTTGGTTCTCGTTTTGTTTCCGACATGCTTTACCAGTCTTCTTTGCCAAGTTTTATCGTCCACCCAATACACCTTCCTAACCCCCTTCCCTCACTCCGCCTGCATTGATGAAAGCTTTCACAAACGGTTACGGGACCATCGGGTTTGCGGTTCTGCAACGGAACCCTCCTCTCGATGGCAAGACCAGCACCAAAGAACAGAGATCTGAGCAGGCACCCATCTGGATTTCCCCAGCATGGGATGTTTTCGCTGCGTTTGCTGCAACAGCTGGCGCCACGTTCTTCGAAATCTCGTGCCGCAATGACGACATTTTG